ATAGCGGAGGAAAAGACCCTAGTGGTGGAAACCCACTCTAGAGAGAGAAAGAGCCGAAGAAAACTTGTTCTTACTCCGAAAGTGTTGATAGGTTGTACTTTATTATTAAGTAAGTAGATTTTGCCACTTTAATTTATTCATTTAGAAATCGTGTATTCAATTTGACTTATTTAATAACTAAACATATTTAATTATTTAGCATTCATAGTTATAGACTTATAGTTTTAGCGCGTTCAAAGAAATTCAAACAATTCTGTCCTAAATCCTAAAGATTTTTATTCCTTTTAATTAGAAAATTACCAATGCTATTATCTTTAGGTAGCCCGTGCCTCCCAACTCCCAAACCCCATCCCAATTATATGTGATCGGCTATGTCTAAAAAAGATTGATTATGAAGCAGTTATTGATGATTTCACTTCACAATGTTCTACGAGAAATGTTTATAGGCAATGTTTTTCTTGTGATACTTGTGTTGCTATTTTCGTCCAAATATGTAATTTAAATATTAATAAATTGAATGTCGTTTTTATTTTATAACCTTTATTAGATAGTTTTACTATAATTCTTACTTTTATAAGTATAATTTATTGTCTGTTTTGAAAATAAGCCCAAAATAATATATCGTCTATGGACGCAAAAGTAGAAAGGAACCGCTCCGTTAAAAATACTCCGTACATGTGTATTTCTCAAAAACACTTAGGGAGTGTTTGCAATTGCTTCAACTTTAAAAAAGTGATTTTTTAAAGTGATTTTGGGAAAAGTGATTAATAGTAAGGGTTGAGTTTAATCCAACACGATATAGTAAATATATGTATAAATGTGTATGAACAAGCTCAGTTTTTACGTGGAAACCCGAAAGGAGAAAACCAGGGGACTTTTTAGGCTAATGTCCAAGCCCTCTCTTTCTCATTAGACTCTCCTCACCATTACATAGTACAATTTGAGATCCATTAATGGAGTCTTGCAAACTATTCTAGAGAGAAGAAATGAGTTGGGGAAGAAGAGAAAGATCCCTAAACATGTGGGAAAACCTCATATTTATAGGAGAAAAGGAATGGGGGAAAACCTACCCTAATGGGACGAAATGGGCCTAAAGGCCGTAACATGCCTGATAGGCTAAAATGGGCCTTACTGATCGGGCTCTGTACTACGTAAAGTCTTGGGCTCCCGAACAGTAACAGACCGGGATAATATATCTCAACAGTAAAAATTGGTAGTGTTTGAGAAAAAAGTAATTTTGAAAACTAAAAGTTGGTATTATTTGGTAAAATAAGTACTTTTTGTGTAATAGAAAAAGTGAAAAACAGTTTAAAACACCTTCTACCTGCTTCCAGCTTTTAACTTTTAAGTGATTAATTTAAACAGATGTCATTTGAAAACACTGTTTTAGTTTTTTTTAAGCTAAAAGCTGAAAAAAGTTTTTTTTAAACAACCACAAAAACACTCCTTTAGGCCCACCGGTGCACGTGCAGTATTAATTTTAGGCAGATTCTATGGTACCCATAAGGTACCATACCTTTGTCCAAATGAACCAATGAGAATGTAGCAGTTGAATTATTTAAATCTAAATTAAAAATGATAAAGTGATGTGGTCCAATCAAATAAATGGTAGGTACGGTACCCCATTTTTTAGGAGGGTACCGGAATTGTCACCTTAATTTTAATAGTTTAATGAAGTTTGAACTATTAATGAAAATAATGAAAACAACTAATCAACAGATTCTCGAGCAAAAAAAACTAATCAACAGATTCTTCTTAAAACGATCTCAATAAATACTTATAACCCATATACGTTTACATGAGATAACTGAGATAGATAAATTAATTAAACATTTAATTTAATAAACAATAGGAGTATACAAAAGCCAAAAATAGATAGAATTAGCGCCTCTTTGGTGATCGTGTTTTTGGATTTACCAGCCAATTTTTTTAATTGTTTAATAAAAAAAAGTAAGATCGAAATTACATTTCTGACAATATTGGCTGAAATTACGATTAGAACTTCATCAAAATAAATCAATTCAACGAATTTGAGTATTAGGAAATGGTCTCTTAATATTGCTTTATTAAGAGAGGCGGTGAATGAACAACCCGATAGATATTAAAAAAACTGGATACGTAAAATCTTGACATATTCGGAAAGATTAGAAAATTATCAAGCCTTCCAAAAAAGAATGAAAGGAAAAAAAACCAAAGGCTGATTAATTAATAAAAGAGAGAGAGTGTGCAAAATGCAGATACGATTTCAGATTTAATTTGGACCAAATTAAATTTTATGTATATTGAAGCTTGGGCTCCAGTCAATTATGGACAGTAATAAAAGGCGCTAGACGGTAAAATTTTCAGGCGGATTCAGAATTAGAAACTCGACTGAGAGAAAGATCAATGGCGAACAGGCTTAGGAAGATGCGTTATGAGAGGAGGGCGGCTTCCATCATTAAGAAAACCAGAGAGCTCGAAACGCTCTGCAACATCAAACTCGCCGTCGTCATTGTGGGCCCCGACGGCAAGACGGAGACTTGGCCTCCCGACCCCGCCGCCGCCAAAGCCATATTCGACGCCGGAAAGGAGAACGCCGGCCGCGCGACGGCCGTCAGAGGCAAGAAACGGAATTCCCCTGAATATAAAAATGAAGAAGAAGAGAGAGATTATTCTCGCCCATGGAAGAAAGAATGCATAACCGCCGCCGCCGGCGAAGATTCGGAAATCGCCGCTGCAACTGTGAGTGGAAGAGAAATCGAGTCAATGGGTGATCCTTATTTCGGGTCTGGGCTCGGAGAACTGCTTAAACCTTATATTCACTAGCTCTTGAATTTAATTACTATTGATAATTAGAATTAGCATGATTAATTTGATTAGCAACTCGATCAAAATTCAATGTAATTATATAATGATATATGCCTTGTTAGTTTTTAGTGATCTCTGATAATATTTCTATCACAGGATTAGAGTATAACTTTTACTGTATAATTAATCCTCCAGGTATCGATATACTCCTCAGTCCTCACTCCTCGATCAGTAGTCCGTATATATATACTCCGTATATGTGCATGCATGTGCAGATTTTGAACAAGTTAGACCAGGCAAGCATGTCACTTTAATCATAATTAGGGTACTCTTTATTATGCATTGAAAACAGAAAACTAAACAGTGTCCTAAATAAGTTAGCTTAATTATTAGCTTCTACTATGTACTCGTATTTCTTTATTATTTCCTATCTTGATGGATTCTTCTGGCTTAATTTTAATTTTCCATTGACCAAACCTATATATTTGGTTTCAAATATTTTCTCACATTTACCATTCTTACACTATTCAATTTGTTGGTCTGGTTTGGTTGATCTGTTTAAGTCTGATCTGTTAAAGTCTGGTCTGATATGCTCTGAGACTGAAAACAGTCCAAGTAAAAACATCACTTACACAAATGTGGTTCTTAATTAACTAAGGAATTATAGGTGAAATTTTAATCTTTATTTTTATTAAATTTCAACTTCTATATGTTTTTTTGAACCGTGTGTGATTTATTCAACATAGACATATAAGTAGGATTGAAGGTTCAAGTAAAACATGCCATAATAAGATATGAGATGGCTCATAAATTTATATTTTATTGTTTGAAGGATTGGCTGGGAGGAGTAATGGAATAGAGTACGCTTGATGGTGCAACACGGATAGGATTATTATGGGGAAAACAAATTAAAAGAAAAATGGAATAGGAAAAGTGAAAAAATTATAAAAAGAAAGAAGAAAAACAAAAAAATGAAAAAGGTAACACACAAATTGAGTATGACCTAAATTAGGTCTGGGTCCGAAATACCGAAAATCGAATCAAATCATACCGAACCGTAGTCAAATAAAACCGAACCGCTAACAAACCGAAAACGAATGTAAAGAACCAAACCGAACCGTACTTGTTTGGTTCGCTTTTGATTTTTATCCTTCGAAACCGAACCGACCGAACAAACCGAACTAATTAAAATATAAAATTCATTTGTCAATTGTTAAGTGTTAAGACCTGGGATTCCATCCTAAAAGGTCAACCTGATAGGAGGAGTAGCCCGTGTGTTAATATAGCACTTTGTTCATCCAAACGTTTCTGGTGTGGGACATTTAACACCCCTCCTCACGACCAGACACTTCGTCTGGATCGTGCAATCATTCATTTTTTTTCATCCGACCGTTTTTTATAATCGTGTCATCATTTTTCATAACGGGTCCCACACCATGGATCGAACCTGTCTCTGATACCATGTTAAGACCCGGGGTTCCATCCTAAAAGGTCAACCTGATAGGAGGAGTAGCCCGTGTGTTAATATAGCACTTTGTTCAGCCCGTGTGGGACATTTAACATTAAACATTAATCCTAACTAATCCTAATATCATTAATAGTCTTTAGTTTTCTTGTGCTAGACAAATAATGTTTGTGTTATGTTTAGTTTAGTTTATAAATTCATTCACACATTCATTGCCTGTAATAATGTAGCTATACTGAATGATGATAATATGTTTTTACTAGTTATTAGTATTAATTAACTTTTATTTTTATTTAACTTAAAAAATTCATATTGATGAAATAATAAATATTCATCTCAACAATATCACATAGAACGTATATACTCATGAACTTTTTTTGAACTAGTCACAAACAATGTAAATTAATAATATATATACTTTTATCTCTCTCGCATACTCATATAATTCAAGACATATTTATTTATTTTCATTTTTATTTTATTTTATTTGTTGTAGTGTGCTTACATTCTTTATGTAATATGTTTGATCCCTCAAAATATTATATCAATTTTAAATCAAATGATTATTTTTTGGTAAAAAACCGAAATTGAATCGAAACAAATCAAACCAATCAAAACGTGATTACAAGTTTTGGAATGTGAAATCGAAGCGAAACCGAACTGAACTTTTTATTTTGGTTTTATATTTGATTTTAGGTCAAAACAAAATAATCCTCTAAACCGTCAAACTGATGCCCTCCCCTTTCGGTCTAATAGAACTGAACAACTCTCTCCCTAATTTCTTTCCTCTTTTTGTGGCCTACTCCAACTGCAAACCCTCTTCATTCATACACACTCTTGCTCCTCAGCAATATGCAGCAGCCGAGCTCCAAGGCTTTCCTTTCCTTCTCCTTCCCTCGGTTCCCGGCAGTAAGACCGTCGATTCCTTCCTTGTCCTCCAACCTGCGACCAAATTGGTTCTCCTTTCAATCGGTAACTCTAATTTTAACTCCCTTCAATCTTATAAATTAATTCATTTAAATGAAGAATTTCAGTAGGATTTAATTAAGATTAGAATGTGTATTGATTTCTGAGTTTTATGGTTATTAGAAAAGGAAATTGAGGAAGAACCAGCTTGAGGTGAATTGGAGTCGCTAATTTGGATTCCGGTAAGCTTTTATATCCTCCAAAATTATTTGATACACACACACCGAAATATATTCCTGTTCGCCCGGCCGGACAGCAGGACAGGAGTAATGTCCGGCCAGGAGTGTTGTCCTTCTACCTCATTTTGAGGTGGTTCTAGTGGTATTTTTTGCTGCAATTTTGTGAGCATGTTTCTCATGAATCATGAATGGTAGATTATGTATATCAAATTTTAGCTAAAAGTTTAATCGGGAAGACAGACAAATAAATTTGTGAAAGTATCTGCGATTTATATGTATATTTTGCCGCAATCATCTTCAAAAAATTCATCGGCTGCCTTTGCGATTGAATTTTTAAGTGAAATTTGGTGCACACAATTTACGCTTCGTTGTAATATGTTCACAAAATTTCAGCAAAAAATATCACCGGGAACTACCTCAAAATGAGGTGGCCGGACATCATTCCTTTCTGGCCTGAACGGACAAGAAGACTACTCATATATAAGAACAACTCTTATAGTAAAAAATGAGAACAAATCTTGATCACTCACTTTAATTAATCAAAAAATGAAATATGTTTCGAACACCTAATTTTGGTGTGGACAAGCATAGGAAATGATTTTCATACCTAACAGATTTAGTTTATGATGATTTATTTAAGGGAAAACATGTAATTGTTAAAATGAGCATTTATTGTGAATGATGAACGGCTAGCATTTCTTCTCATTCTCACAATAAGATGTGTTCTCATTTGAACCATACACACACATACACACATGTGTATATATATAAGCAAGTTGTGTGTATAATCATAATGTTTGTATTGGTATCTATAAGACTCGTGCTCATACCGATCCTTCCATCCAAAAAGATAATAAGACATTATTTCATATGCACTTGTGGACAATGGACATATCTCGTGTATCTTGTGTAATAGGAATAGATAAATAAATTTGGTCTAGTTTCTTTTGATCTCCCTTACTGTAATCATGAGCACGTGTATGATTATTCATTTGTTCCGGTAAACAAGAAGACTGAAACTGCCCAATTCAATTAAAAAAAAGCAAGGAAAGAATATTATAAGACAAGTTAATCTAATATTCCTTTATTTGGAGTCAATGGGAGATATGAAAGTGTTTTTTTTTTTAAGAAATGTCTTAGCCAGCCCCATTATTGCAATGGTTGGATTAATATTTGGTAATGTGTGAACATTTCTATATACGCACAATATGAATCCTTATGTAAAATGGTTTTGGAGGCTGGTTCATTTGTACAGAGTATTTATTTGTAAAAGTAACATGGTTTTTCAGATTAAGTAAATCTGTATTTTCCTGCTGACAAAATATGTATGTGTGTATGTGTTTGAGGCTGCTATACATATGATTAGTTAATTTGGTCTGCGTTAACTACCTTATATTTGAAGCTGGGATCTGGTTAACTACCTTGTATTTGAAGCTGAGATCTGGTTAACTACCTTATATTTGAGAGTGAGAATTTAAAAAATGTTAATTTAGATAAATTAAGAAGAGAAAAAATCTACATCAACTTGGTCTCTGCGGAGTGCGGAGAGAGTTACGGTGCGTTTCAACTTTCAAAATTAGTACTACCTCCGTCCCACTCAAAGGTTCCCGTCCACTATTTTCCGGTCAACGCAAAGTCTTCATATATCCAACTTTTATCAAATTTGAGTTTTTCTCTTGCGACTTTATAAAACTTTTAATGTAGTTTCCGAATAAGTAAATTTTATTCACTAAAAAGAATCTAACTACAGACAGGGATCAATTAACTTTATGACCGTTCAAGCATCGTAAATCGCGTGAGAACCTTTCTACGGGACAGAGGGATTAATAGTTATTCCTAATTAGTATGGGTGGGACATTTTAGTAATACAATAAAAGATTTATTTGAAGTTAAATAAGTAAAAATGTTTAGTACTACGTAATATTTTTTTCCGTCATTTTTCCGCAATAATATTAATAAAAAATTAAAAAATAATCCAGGCCGGATTATAAAAAACTAGGGTATATAATCCAACACAGGTAAGTGATCGTTAAGCGGATAAAACAAATCAAAACGAAAAATTTATATATATAGCAAAGATATTTGTTATATCTATCTCAGAAATCCTATTCTTGTGCTCTGGAAGTTTGAATATACTCGGTCTTTAGCTAATTCTTCAACAAAATCGCTGAAAATAGAGAACCCCAATAATTTTTATTTCATTTCAAAACTTGTTAACCAACTTATTCTGCCAGATTCATTTACATCACATGCATGTCTCCTGAAAGATCAAACTTGAATTTTCTTTTGTGGCTAGCTAGACACACAGAATTGAAAACTCCATGAGAGAAGTCATAGAAGCTGTGGAGAGAGCTTTACCTCAACAGAAGGGACTCATCCCTTGCAAATCCCTTTTTGAGATGTTACGTACTGCAATATCATTCAATGCTAATCAAGAATGCAGAGATGGACTGGAGTTGAGAATTGGGAAACAGCTTGACCAGTCAACGGTCAAGGAACTACTTCTCATACCTCATGTCCCGGAAGAAAAGTATGACACTGAGTGTTTGAAGAGGATGTTGAAGATCTATTATGACAACTACACGAGCTCGGAGTTCTCGGGTTTCATTAAAGTGGCAAACCTCATGGAGGAATTCTTGTGTGAGGTTGCGAGTGACATAGACCTAAAAGTGGACACATTTGCATCACTTGCGGACTTATCTGCTTCCGTATCGAGTGAAGCCAAACGGAGCTCTGATGGGATCTACCGAGCGATAGATATCTACCTGGAGAAGCACATATATTTGACAGAAAAGGAGAGGGAGAAGCTGTGTGATGTTCTGGATTGCAGCAGGATGTCAGTTGAAGCGTGCCAGCACGCTGCACAAAATAACCGCTTACCCACCAGGTTGCTGGTGCAGATTTTGTTTGCAGGGCACATGAGTTTGAAGGACACAATGAGGAAGGAGATGATTCATTCTTGTGGAGCTTTGATGGCTGAGAAGAAAGATGAAGGAGGGGTGGAGTTGAGTGCAAGTGAAGATGATGATCATGAGGTAAAGGCAGAGATTGAAAAGATAGGGAACAAGGTGTTGGAGTTGGAGAAAGAATGCAATAATGTGAGGATGCAAATTCAAAAAGGGAGGGAGAGGAATGAGAAGAAGAAGATGAGTGTGTGGAAAGAAATGAAGAGGAAGTTTGGGTGCATGACCACCATGCATGACTGCAGCAACAGCCATGTGCAGAAGAAGAAAAGGTGCATCCAAGATAGTATGTAGCAGCCCACATAGGATCAGACTCCAGCTGCCCTTTTCGAATAAATTTAGATGATCTGTCATGTTATTTCGCTGTGGTAAATTGCTTTTTTAGTCCCTTAACTATGTCACTTTTGCCATTTTAGATCCTCATTAACTTTTTTGTATTCTTTAATAAGGGATTTAATCCCTATAATGAATTCAATCTTTGTTTGCAACTGCATATACAATGAGAGACTAAACAGTGAACCCTTTTGGCTCAATTATAACTGAACTACTATCATTACTTTCAGACTTGTAAAACATTCAACTGATTATATAAATGTCAAATCAATATTCCTAGTGCAAAAGACAGTCAAAAAAAAAAAATCCTAGTGCAAAAGCAATCTCATACAAATAAACATTAGATTGCGATATAGATAGTCTTCAAGATTTCCACCACTAAAAGGAATCTGATTTTTCTACAAATAAAGAAAAACAAATCTTGATTTGGAAAAGAGTTTACTTGGGCAATGGATTAATCTCCATTTTTCTCAAAAGAAGAAACATCCTCTGATCAAGCTTATATTTATGCATGTTCCTGGGCACACTGCACAGCTTTAGGTGAAGTTCTCCAAAAGAAATAAACACCATCCAGATTAGTGGGCTTGCAAAACCACACCGTTATACATTTAAGAGTTGCACTTCATGAACTCGATATTTATTAGTTAAGTATATTAGCTCGGTAATATACTACTCCGTCCCCCAATAGAGGGACGGAGGGAGTAATATAAAGTAACTCTTATTACTGCTTTATGCAAACCACATTCACTCTCAGTTTAATGTTGGGAAAACTATCAAACCCGCTCTGGAAATGTATGACAAAATCAATTAAGCTCTCGAATTAAATAAATAACATTCAACTTTACAAAAACGTTCAAATGTACTCCGTATGATTTAGTAGGTAACATTTTCTCGGTTACCATAATGAAAGCTTTTATCCTACTTTTTCTCTTTCTATTTTCTACTTTTCACTTTTTCTTTGTATGATTCTTATTTTTTATACTTTTTCTTCTCCACTTTCCTACTTTCTCTCTTCTATTTCATTCGTTTTCTTAGCTTCTTTAATTAATACCCTATTACATTTCCCAATCTATGTAAGAATCTTAGTGTAACATCCTCAAACTTGTTTTATTTTTAAAACTAGCTTTCAAGCCCGTGCGATGCACGGGCAGTACATAATTTAGCCAATTGTAAATTTGATATTTTCGGAATCATATACGTAGTATAATTTAATGTGATGCAAAAACAAAATAAACTCAGTCTAATATAAAATTAGTTGAATTGTTTAACTCTACCGTAATGAATTAAATCTAACAGATCGGGCTAAACTGACGGAATATCCCACATTATGAAAAAGTAAATTAAAATATACTACATATTACGTATATAACTAATAAAACAAATTAAAATTTATATGAAAAATATTTAAAATGGACTTGTACATAAGCATCTCAAGTTCTCAACTAACCATAATTGTTATAAACCCGCTTTTAAAGAATTCACACAAAAGTTTCTTAATTAATTTCACATTGTATTACTTCATTAAGCATCTCAAAATACTATTTTTTTTAAATATTTCTCATTCAACATGGTATGAAATAAGTATTTGTAAATTTATTAGTAAGATCATACATTTTACTCATTATTTCGTCAAATTGAGAATGTAAGAAAATGGATCATTTTTACAATTTACTAATTTATTTCGTCACATTGAAAACGTCATTAATAAGATATACTCACTTTGTCCCCCTTATATTGTCTCGTTTTACCTTTTCGGGAAATCCCACTAAAATTGCTTCATATCATATTTGGTAAAGTTTGTGTGGCTCTAAATCATTTTTATTTATGCTTACTTTATCAATTAATATCAACCACACAAACCCACTTTTTTTAAAAAATCGTGTCACCCTCTTCTGTTCCAATATAAGAGGAACGGAGGTAGTATCAAATTAGATTGACATTTTCAGTTCTAATTTGGTCTGAAGTAATACAGTGTGGAAGATGTCTATTATATGTATAATAATAATAAAAATAAAAATAATAATTTTTGTTATTATGATTGATGTTTGATCTGATCTTGTCTGAGACTAAAATCAGTTGAATTAAAAACATTCTAAATATATGAAGATTTCTTAATTTGGATTAGGAATCTATTACAGAAGTGAGGGAATATTTAAATTATAGTTGTAAAAATAGAGAAAGAAGTAAACATATATGAATTTCCATCCTAATAAAGGTAAAGTACTTGATCAGAAGTTTTACATGTTATCAATTTCATTTTTAAGTTAAAAAATCTTGTGGATATAATTTCTAATAACTAACAAAGTATTAACACAATTGCAAATCTACCTAAGGCTTATAATTTTAGTCATTATCGCATTGAGTTTAGAAAACATACTAAAAAAGAGATTGAGTTTAGAAAAATAAAATATCACATTTAGGAAATGGAACACTATTATTACCTTTTTATTTTTATAAAATAACTTTGAAGAACAAAATTAATAGGAATTTGGATTATTTATCTGTTAGGTGGGGAAAACACGGATAATTCATTTCTCAATAGAATGTAATAAGAATTAAAAGGTATAAAAAATAATTAAATAATTTATATAAAATAGAGTTTATGTGTAGGGATGGCTATAAAAGTTAAGTAGTATCAAATAATTATTACAAAAATATTACGAAGTTTTTTACAATAATTATTACGTAACTTTTATTATCTAATTTGATACATAATATTTTGTCCAAATATAATGTATTTGATAAATATTTTGATACTTACTGCAAAATATATTTTGATACTTACTAATAGGTTATGTATTATATGCAATATTTTGATAAAAGGTTATGTATTATTTGCAATATTTTGATACTTACTGCAAAATAATGCATAACCTTTTATATATATTTTGATACTACAAAAATAATTAAATAATTTATATAATTATTTGTCTATAAAAGTTACGTAGTATCAAAATATTTCAAATAATATGGAGTAAGTAAAGGTTCTCAAAAAGTTACGTAGTATCAAATAAGGTGGATTATAAAAGATTGTACAATATTTTGTTTCCATATCAATATGCAATAAAAAATAGAATGTAGTAAAAAATAAAAAGTAGTTGAATAATTATTATATATGATGACATGAGAAGATTATGTGGCACACCGTATGCTCTTAAAAAGTTCCTCTTTTATATATATATTGATTTCTGAGAGTAAAATATAAGGTTTTGTCTCAAAAAATAGGTCTTACTATTTAAGTTTGAAGTTGACGTAAAAAAATTGTAGTTGACATAAATATTAAAAGTACAAAAAACACACATTTAAAATTGATTAATACGTAGTATAAAATAATAAACTAGAGAGAGTAAAGTGGAAAGCGAGTGCGGCGAATTGATCTCTTGTCATTGTTTTGTAATATTTTTATCTTTCTTATGTTTTTTTTTTATCATTTTATCCCTTTTTATTACACACACATATATATTCTTGAAAACTCCTTTTTATCTCATCATTTTATCTCTATCTTATATTTATGTGTATCTCTATTGTATTTTTTAATCTTTTTTATTATATCACATCGTTTTATCTTTCTTAACTTTTTTATCTGATATCATGTATTAATTCATGTTAGTCAACCTCAAAATCTTTTGGGACTAAGGTTAGAAAGTTGTTGTTTGTTATATAACATCAAAAATTAAATATTGTAACAACATCTAGACTCTAGTTTAGAAATTGAACAAAAAAAAACCATAATGTATACAAATATGACCCGTGAAGAAGCCAGAAATCTATGATTAGGAGGTCAGGCTTTGAAATTTTCACATAGTGGAGGTGAAAGTTTAAAATATCAATATACTTGTTATTGATTGAAAATATTTATACATTAGGAGTTTAAATTATTGATTGTTATCAATATAGAATTAGGTTCAAGTGAGAAAATGATCTTAGGAGATAAAGGAGAATGGATCTAGGCTGTTAGATTGTAATCTGTGAAATTGGATGTGCATTTAGTCAAACTGAAATGTGCATTAGGTGAAATCGAAATGTGCACTAGGTGAAACTAAAATGTGCAGAATTAAACTATGATGTGGTAACATTTTTTAAGGCTTTTATTCTGCACATTTCAATTTCATGTAATGCACATTTGAGTTTTACTTTTCATTCTGCACATTTCAATTGCACTTAATGCACATTTCAGTTTTACCAAATGCATAGTATAATTTCACAGATTACAATCCAACGGTCCAGATTCATTCTCATTTCTCTCCTGGGAGTCCTTTCTCACCGGAACCACTCCCCATATATATATATATATATATATATATATATATATATATATATATATATATATATATAGAGAGAGAGAGAGAGAGAGAGAGAGAGAGAGCTCTTCTCATCAGGCCGGCCTGACGGGCTGCTCCGTCCGGCCGAGCCCGTTTGGACACCTTCCCGGTGGAATTTTTTGATGAAATTTTTTGAACATGTTCCTCATCAAGTCTAGTTTGTCCATACCAAATTTCAGCTCAAAATTCAATCGGGAAGGTCGTCAAATGATTTTTGCAAGTTAACTGGTCCGGAAAATAAATATTCCGGACCAGTTAACTTGCAAAAATCATTTGACAACTTTCCCGATTGAATTTTGAGCTGAAATTTGGTATGAACAAACTAGACTTGATGAGGAACATGCTCAAAAAATTTCATCAAAAAATTCCACCGGGAAGATGCCCAAACGGGCTCGGCCGGACGGGGCAGCCCGTCAGGCCGGCCTGACATGAAGTTTTCTCTCTCTCTCTCTCTCTCTCTATATATATATATATATATATATATATATATATATATATATGGGGAGTGAATCTTGTGCATTCATTTACACATCTAATGGCTCAAAATGAGCCAAAAATGCACAAATTGAGCTCTTCCCATGCAAAGTGAGAATGAATCTTGTGCATTCATTTCCACATCTAATTGAGCACATCAAATACAAAGAGTTCTTCACATGCAAAGTCAGAAAGAATCTTGTGCATTCATTTCCACATCTAATGGCTCAAAATGAGCCAAAAATACACAAATTTCAGCCAAAAACGCGGTGGCGTTTTCGTAAACATGTTGCACTTTTTTCGCCACCACGAAAAAGTGCAACACAAACACGAAAAAGTGCAAGCGAAACAAGAAAATGTGCATATCTTCACACTTTGCACGGGAAGAGGTCTTTTTA